GTTGCCTGCAAAGGTGAGCCGTGAAATATTATGTCGATGTGGTAACCAAACCGAAGGTACCATTTGTGAAGGAGAATCATCGCGCGCGCCGTTTGAGTTTCAGACTCTCCCACTCCGTCTATAAGTGTCTTTTGTCTTGTTCTTTTAGCTGTTGATTTAGATGAGAGACGACGAGTGTCAGGAAAAGGACATTTTATGTCCAGGTCGGGGGTGTGTATACGACGGTAGTTCCTGCCCTGATTTTGTCAGAAATCGGGAGAAATATGACCCCGGGAGGAAACCGGGAGAAGGCAATGAAATCGGGAGTCTCCCGCGAAAATCGGGAGGGTTGACAAGTATGAACGCGCTACTTTTATAATTCAGTAATCACACTACAGTTACTAACATTGCCCCGACACGCGTTACTTCGTTACTTACTAAAATCAGTCATAATCACACTGACAGACAAGAGGGTTTTCCGCCGCAGGTTTATATGTACGTAATCTGCGCGACTTGCGCGTCCACATCTCCACGTGCAGTGCTGCATAAACATGGCTGAGTCAGCGATAACTTTCGAGGGGTGGAGGTATGCCCATTATTTTGAGTTCGTCCGAATAATAGACAGGAATGTTACGGTGATGTGCAAACTGTGTCCAGGCCAGAAGCTGTTATCCACTGCTGTAAACACCACGTCAAACCTCAACAAACACCTGCAGAGAACACATGCTAAGGTGAAGCACACGCTATTTGTTGTTTGTTTATAGCACGTAGTCCGTTCTTCTTCTCTGTCTTCCGGTTGTTGCCTGTTTTGAATGACGAATACACACTACCGCCGCCTGCAAGGAGAGTTATTGCCACTCACGCATGCGCAGTTCGTACGTGCTCGGCGAGTAAAGTAACGAGTTACTTTATGGAGAAAGTAACGAAGTAGTGTAATAGATTACTTTAAAAAAAAAAAAGTATTATGTAATATATTACATTTTTTTAGTAACGACCCCATCTCTGCACCTGAGCTATAAGTGGTGATACATTAATGGTATAAGTGATAAGCTTTGTGGACAACAACTGTGTAGATTTGTTTGAGTGCCTGTGAAAGCCTCCATGTTATGTGTATCTATCCTACGTCTATATTCCATCTTTTCACGCTGTATCCATATGTTTGTTTGTACTTTCTCCCTCTCAAGGTATGATTTGGTCAGAATGCAAGGAGATCTGGACTGACGGGCCCAGAGAGTACATCATGCACCTGTGGAACGTCCTGGATTTTGGCATGTTGTCCATCTTTGTGGCCTCCTACACAGCACGCTTCATGGCGTTCGTGAAGGCGACCAAAGCCCAGCAGTATGTGGACCTGCACGTTCCAGACGAAGACATCAGCACCGCCTCTCTACCTGAGGAAGTCGCCTACTTTACTTTCGGTGAGCATTTATTCCAGGAATAAGATTAAAGGTTTTGAAAGTGTTTTGGAAGTTAGTTTTTTACGTTACCAATGTATCTGGTTTGGCGCACTTTTATTGTTTTCGTAGATCTTGTGACTGCCATTAATCATAACAGTAAAAATCATTTTTTAATCTGAAAGAATCATATCTTTTTCACAGGAAAAAGGCTACTTTGACACCACATAATGAAATGTGATTTATGAGTTTCTTGAATCATTGTTTTGGTAAATCTGTCATCTGATAAGGTGATTCAAAATAAGTACCTCAGACAATGATTCATATCTACCTTCCCTGCTCTCTTTTTCGAATGGTTTCTAGAATTTCATAATATTTTATTCGGTAAACTCATAGTTCAAGAAAATTATAAACTTTTACTTCACTTCCAGACCAAAAACAATTTATTAAAACCTGCTGCAGGTTACTGAGCTGTACTCTTCTTATGAGCTTACCAAGGTAACCTTCATCAGTGCTGTCATCTGGTGGTCTGACTCGGTCATGACACGTTAGTAAATAGATTTAAATCTTGTGTCAATTTTAAGTCCATCTGACTGCTGAGCTGTTCTCACTACTTCCCTTTATCTGCACTGTGCACACATTGTGTTACATTCATGTATTCTTTTTCATAGATTGTCAATGATTTAACAGTGATTTTTTTGTACTTTATTTTTCTCTGTCTATGTCCTTGCTTGATTTTTCCTTTATGTATCTACGGTAGTTCAATTATCCTCTCCATTTAAATGTCTGACTTTTCCTCTCTAGCTTCCATACCTATGTCCTTTATTCTCCTGTTGCACTTTTTTATCCTTTCTCTTTGCTGTCCATTTGTCTCATAATCTGGCCTTCCTTCTCCCTCATCCTCTTCCATCCTCACTTAATCCATCTCCTTAATGTACCCTTTCTCCCATCAAAGCACATGTTGTTAAAAATCAAGATTATGCTTTCTAAGAACGTGCATTTTGAAGCTGAACTTGCATACCAGATGCATCAGATTGTATTTAGTGTGAAATGTGAGCTAGATCAAATCCAAGGACCTATTTCCAATGTAACAAGTTTCCCTCAAAATCAGAGAATCACTCAACAATCCCGGTTGTATTATTGGGTAGCTTGTTCAGATGAAATGTTAACAGCTTTCTGCTGCTTGTCCTCCTTCTGTCTTCTCCTCCAGCCAGGAACAAGTGGCGCCCCTCAGACCCCCAGATCATCTCAGAAGGCCTGTACGCCATCGCTGTGGTTCTGAGTTTCTCACGCATCGCCTACATCCTGCCAGCCAACGAGAGCTTCGGCCCTCTGCAGATCTCACTCGGGCGCACAGTCAAAGATATCTTCAAGTTCATGGTCATCTTCATCATGGTGTTTGTGGCCTTTATGATCGGCATGTTCAACCTTTACTCGTACTACCTGGGAGCCAAGTACAATCCTGCCTTCACCACGTGAGTTATTTTGATATATGTATTCATTTAAGAAGGAAACATCCACATTCATTCCCATAAATCCATAATTTTCATCTGCAGTCCCTGGTAGGCTGGCTGCGGGAGTGTTTTGGCAAATGTGTGTGACTGTGTAATTAGATGATGGTTGTGTTTACATCCTCATGTCTGTATCATCTTTAACTATCTTACAAACATCTTAATTAACTTAGAAAAGGGAAACATATAGTGTAACTACATGATGGCCTCACTTTAATTGTTTTATACAAGAACTGTGTCTCATATACAGTCAATCAATATACAATCTTATTCAAAGTGTCTTCATTTGGTTTCCTTGCTAATGTAATTGCGAGATCAATAGAAATGGTCAGATTTGCTCCTTTCAGACTGTTTCCTGGGAGTATTGAATCCACAGAGATCGAACTTTAATCTCGCTTTGTGAAGGCAATTATTCTTTTGGTTAAATAGCTCCAATACGGTGATTGGGAATACTGGTGAGTTGTGTTTCTAGCTCACAGCTTTAACAAAGTAATGGGTAGAAAATGTAGCGTTTCCCCTGCAACATTCTTTGTTTCTTTTACCTTTGAAGAGAGATCTACTCTGCTCTAACTCCGACATGAAGAAGCAACCATTTCTAACTGTATCTTTTATAATAAGAGAGGCGGGAAGTGTTAGTGAAAAGTGTCAATGGGATAATCTGTCTGAGCTTTGGGAAAAATTAATCAATTTTGGTTTGGTTAAATGCCTAGTCTTTGATTAGAAACATCTTTATTTGACATCCTGTAATGAGGAAGCAAATCATCTTGGCCTATTGAGTTTTTAAAAATCCATTTCCTTTTAGATCGATATAGATGTTAATGAACCCAAAGAGCAAAAGGAGCTTTGGGACGCTGTGTCAAAGTTTTGATGCCAGTCCAAACTATTTGGTAAGTTTCTCTGAGAACTAAAGAGCTGGGCTACAGTCAGTGAACTTAATCGGATCTGAAACAGGATTTAACACGCCACCAAAGTCGTCGACAGTGATATGATGGAGCCCATTGTACCAAAAGACAAAAGTCGACCATCTGGCCTGACTGCTGACTAGTGTCAAAGGAAAGTTGATGATTGCCAAGGCCACAGTGAGCCCCATGGAGACAGTATCCGCGACCGGATGTCACTGGCTCAGGCTCATTCAAAGCAGTCACGTGTGGGAGATGCTAAGAGAAGTTCTGTAAAGCTCAACAAGATTTCATATTCTAACTGTTAACACAGACTTCATTCAGCACTTTAGTAGACCTTCCTGAATAGGGTCACATTTTTCCAAGTCTATCCTTATACAATGTTCACTTCCCATACAACATAATTATTGAGAGAACAAAATCCAGTCTGGAAAACTTCCAATGGAAAAGAGAGTATTCATAGCTCTCATTACTCCTAAATTACCTTCATTTTAATCAAATAGTCAATTTCACATTGAACTGAGGATTCACTATGTATCTATAGGCTGCAGTGCCATACAGCGCCTTGAATATGCTCTTTTACTTCTACTTTAACATTAACATCAGCAGCGAGAAATTCAAAGTTCGTTCTATGAATTTAACTGCTGCATGTTTACTGACAAGTTGTCGTGTCGTATATCAACCTGCTTGTAAAAAAACAAACCTATCCAAAATGTCACACAACACATCCATCTGAATATCACTGCCTCTCCCTTCTTCATTCATTTTAGCTTATCCTTGTTTCTTTGTTTTTCACATGAACTGCAGTGATGTGATGGATCATTCTCTGACACAGTCTGATGTATGTTGGAAAGCTTTCCATTTTTGGCTGCTGACAAAGTCTTTCAGCAGTTTATCATCATTCATCTCAAATTGAAAACCCTCTCGGAGGTGTCTCCCTTATCATTATTAGTCTTCTCAGAGGAAGACATCTACAGATTTAGACAGATGACATTACACAATTTTGGTTTAATCCAATAGAGCAAAGCATTGGTCTGTATTAACGTTGTCATACTGTTCTCTTTTTCACTTGTTCATGTTAATTAAGTTGTTACTCTAATATGTTAATCATCAAACGTTAGGGTTTATTATGGTAACACGTCCCCCACCATGTTAGAGCGATGGACAGATTCTCAACCAACTTGTACATTTAGTGGAGCATGATCATCATGCTGATTTGCATAATTTACATTACATGTATTTTATATCAGTGAAGAACACAAGTATGACTTGAATTCTTGTCCTCAGATAGTTTTGTATTAACAGGCTTTCCAACCATGACAAACCGCCTCCAGGAGTCAACATCTGTCTCCTCATAAGCATAAACCTTCTGCCGTTGGCTTGTTTGCTGTTTTTGGTTTGGAGTCCTCCCAGTAAACCTCACAGGAGTCTGATGCTTGCTTTATGACTGAGAACTGCCTTTTATAATGATTTACTGGTTCAGTTGTTTGTGTTTAATCTACGTTTCCCATCCACAATAGAACCAAACTAAATGATTAAATAAGATGGAGTCAAAATGACCAGGGAGCATTGCCATCGTTTTTATGTCTCTAGTTGTTTTGGAAAGCTTTGTAGTAAATGTGATGCCTTTTTCTTATCAGACATTCCCGGGCCTAACTGCTTGCCTGTCCATCTGTCTGCCTGCCCATTATTTGAATGTGGTTATGCACCTGCCTGTGCTGTGGTCTTTATGTCTCCTTCATACCGTGGCGTTTCTCTTTAGCATGCGAACAACTAAACTTAGTCTATAAACAGTGTTACATCTTGGAAACGAGAATGTGTAGTATATCACACTTACAGTTCATATGCTACATAAAAGTAGATGGGGTCAAAGACCAGATGCAATAAAAAAAATACAATTCTATATTATAGTCCTGCAGCCTCAGCTGTTTTATTTAAACGCACCAGATGTGTATCCTTACATATTCCATAACCTTGGAGGTATGTGACGCCTGGGAGCAATTTCCATGTTTATGAGCTGCTAAACATTTACCCCTAGATACAGAAAAATCTCTGGTCGTAAAAGGTGTTATTGGACTTCTACTGTGAGGACTCTTTACTTTGACCATGATCCTCTGCTGTGTATATACCAACACAGTCTCACAGCATTTCGTGTTATAATCACAAAATTAATCTATTGATTCGTGTTCACCAACACGATTTTGCCATTTTTTTCGTGTCACACAGAACGATTTTAAAAGCAATGTAAATGATAACAAATTAGAAGGAAAAACAGATAAAAAAATAAAAAAAATATATAGATTTCAGAATTCTGAGGCTCTGAGCCCCATTTATTTTCCTCGCGGACGGCAAAAAAACCTCCGACATTATACAATTTAAAATAAAAGGGATGGGGTTAGGCTTAGGGTAAGATATTGAGTAAGAAAATGTTTTTATGAACCACACAGCCTCTACTCAAGACCCGACCGGAAAAAAAGACGTGGTGCAGGGACAAATATACTACCAATAGAAATACATTGCTTTTAAATCGTTCTGTGTGACACGAAAAAATCGTGTTGGTGGACACGAATCAACAGATTAAATTAATTTCGTGATTATAACACGCCGTGTAAATGCCGTGAGACTGGGTTGCATATACAGTAGTTCCTCTGCTGGGCGGCAGCACAGGGATCTTAAGCTGTGAGTTCTGCTCGGCTGCCCACATTGAGCCAGGGATCCAGGAAACCTGATGAGCGGACAGACAGAGCATGAGACGGAGTTAACTTACAGAAAGACAGTAAGAAACAGAGATTAATGGCGTTGAAATAGAAAATCAGACAGATTGTGATCACAACCCGAGAATCAGACAAAATGAAAACTTGTCAAAAAGTAAAAGGACATGTACAGAAAAGACCCCAGGCCCGGCATAAGAAGTGCCTTATCTTCTTCATCACACAGTCATTTCCATCATGAATTCAGCTTTGTACGTTGTCCCCTTATCACTTCTGCTCTCTGCTTCAGAACTCCACATCAAGGCTGGTTTCAAAAATCAGCATTAGAACAGCTGTTACAAAAATTATATCAAATATAGCCTATTTATAGTCATACAACCTTGGCTGCATTCTTTGTCAGAGTAGTTTTTTAGGCAAGAACATGTCCCTGCATCTAAATGAGCCACGCTGGTGTTCCTCTGACAGTTTTTCAATTTGTTTACTGAGCTGCATAGAGACAGAGATGGTTCGAGCATGACCGAAAGCCCCTCAGATTGTGTTGTTGTTGTGAGTCTGGCCAGCAGGGGTCAGTGTGGCTCTAAAGCCAGACCTGTCTGTAAAGTGGTTACAGAGCAAAAGACTTGACTGAACCTTGATGAGAGGCGGTATCGCATTTATTTTCATTTCGTTTTTGTGTAAATGTAGTCAACCCTCTTGTCCAATAAGTGTGTGGGAAAGTCTGTGCACTGTGATGCAATTGTGTGTCCCTGTTTGGTTTATGCATGTTTATTTTTACGTTACACTCATTTAATTTGTAGGAGTGACATTGTTCAAAATAGCTATTGAGAATAGTATTGCCTGCTGTATGATGTACATAAATTGGGAATTTGCAGAAGCCGAATCTCCAGTCCATCGATTTTTTTCTCCAAACATTAGCCTGTGTGGCTGTAAGTGTGTGTGCTTGTGCTGAGTTCTGTGTGTGTGTGTGTGTGTCTGTGTGTGTGGGCTGTGTGACTTTAACTATCTGACAGGGCATGTTTTATGGAGGACAGAAGAAAGGGCTGATATTATGGCTCTCATAGAGGAGGATGAGGAGGGAGCCAGGTGTAGGAATTAATGATAGCCTAGGAGGAGCCACTCGGGCTGATGGACCGAGGGAGAGATGTGAGGGGACGGGGACGGGGGGGGGGTACGGTGAAGGATCGAGGAAGAGGATAGAACTCCCTCTCTCATACTTAGGCTCGCTCACACAAGATATAACTCGCACACATATACACATACTTGCACAGCTGGATGGGGCTTAATGAAGACTGAGCAGTAATAGCCACACAAACCCAATCCCCAGGGCGCAAAGACTCAGACAGCTCTCTGACTC